CGCCAACGGCAACACTTCTGCTTTCTCTCCGTGTAGTTCCCCTACCTTTAAAATGATGCTTTTAGCAGGGTTTATGTTTTTATTTCACTCCATGTATTACACGTAACTAATCTGATTACACTGATTACATTTCTTTTCGCTATCGGGGAACCATGCTTGTTTTCACTCCGTTGTTTCCCCCACCTTATAACAATCTTGGTTTTTCCTCTCTCTAGTGTTGCGCTTCTTTCATTTGCTCCTTTCTTGTCTCCTTCCTTTATTCCATTGATTGGCCACTTCATATTTACCGTGTACGACTTTAACCTTCATAGCACACATGACATTATTTTAAGCATTTCTGGCCTAAGGTCATCCGGTGTATAAGAGTTTGATTCAGTAAGCTTTATTTGTGCTTTTTACCTAATTCAGTTTGATGTTGCTGTCACAGCAGTTTGGTTTTTCCTCTAGAAATGTTACCAAGAGTTGAGTCCCGAAGAGCAGACTCTTCACTAAGATCTTCAAATGAGGTGTCCAAACCAATAGATGTGCAAATTGGGGCATGAACGTGTAAGGCCACACGACTCCCCCAATTTCTTGGTGACAGAATCCAGAGATACTAACGTGGGTAAAATGATGGATAAAGAGTTCAGGTTTACTGGCAAAAATGATCTATGATTTTAAAGAAAATACACAAAAGTAGATGAATGAGGTAAGAAAATCAACTCAAGACTTGTAAAAAAAAAAAGGCAGATAACCTAGATGAGAAAGTCAGCCTTTTGGGTGGGAATTAAGCAACAATTACCTGAGATATGTGTGTGTTTGTGTGTGTGTTTGTGTATGTTTGTGTGTGCGTGTGTTTGTGTGTGTTTGTGTATGTTTGTGTGTGTGTTTGTGAAAACAAATGGATATACTGGAAATGAAATCTCCATGTATACTCAATGAATCAAGAAAAAGGTAGAAAGTAGAACCAATGGACTGAACCATAAGAAAGAAAGAACACCAACGATAAGAGGACAACACTGAGAGAAACTATTGCATTAAGGCATTCAAAGGCGAGGATGGAGCATACAACCTCAGCTTTGAAGAATTCTAGGATTTTACCAAGACACAAAACCCAAGAAACCATGAAGTGAGGTAACTAATAAAACAAAGAACAACAAACTAAAGACATAGGAAGTCTATTTGATGGAATTATGAGCAAACTTTAGCCTGTTAAGCTGCACTTGGATCCTCTTCAAGCTCTATAGACTGGCACTGTCTGCTCTCGGATCAGGTCATAAAAGCCAAGCCTAAAAGGCTTGTGGCCTGGTTGGAGGTTTGTCTGAGGGAGAACTGTATTCAACCTTTCTAGAGGTCTAGAATGCTGATATTTGCACTATGGCAGGCAGTTTTTTGGGTTTTTTGTTTGTTTGTTTGTTTGTTTTGGTTCCTTTTGGTTGCTTAGGAGCTTGCCGGCAGGCAGAAACTCTTAAAGGAGCCATATACTTTTTTTTCCTTTCCCATGTTCTCAGGCTCTACATGGAAATACAGCCTCACGTTGGTACACCAAAATGTTGCTGTTTGTTTTTTACTCTTAGTACTATTTGTTCTTTGGGGGAACCTGCCACCCAGCTCCCAAATAAATCATGCACTTGGAGGCTTATTATTACTTATAAATGCCTGGCCTTAGCTTGGCTTGTTTCTTAAAAACTGTTCTTAAATTATCCATGCTACCTTTTGCCTCTGGGCTTTTTCCTTTTATTACTTCTGTATATCTTACTTTCACTCTTACTCTGTGACTGTCTGGGTGGCTGGGTGGCTCAGTGGTTGGGTGACTGGGTGGTTGGATGGCTGGGTGACTGGGTGGTTGGGTGGCTTGGTGGTTGGGTCGTTGGTGGCTGGGTGGCTGGATGACTGGGAGACTGGATGGCTAGGTGACTGCGTGGCTGGGAGGCTGGGTGGCTGGGTGGCTGGGTGGCTGGGTGTCTGGGTGGCTGGGTGGCTGGGTGTCTGGCCCCTGATGTCCTCCTCTCCTTGTTCTCTTGCTCCTTATTCTCCTTCTCCCAGATTTCTTCTTCTATTTATCCTGTCTGCCAGCCCCACCTATCCTTTCTCCTGCCTCACTATTGGCCAATCAGCTCTGTATTAGACCATCAGGTGTTTTAAACAGGCAAAGTAACACAGCTTCACAGAGTTAAACAAATGCAGCATAAACAAAAGCAACACATCTTTACATCGCTAAACAAAGGTTCCAGAGCATAAGCAAATGTGACACGCCTTAAGATAATATCCCACAACAAAATGAATCAGTCAATCAACAAACCCGCAAATTCACTGAATATATAATTCTCAAAAGAAGATATAGACAAATGACCAATAAGTAGATAAAAAATGTTCATAGCCACTGGGAAGGAAAAATTAAAGCTACAATGAGATTTCATCTAACCAGTCAGAACGTCTAGCACAAAGAAGACAAGTGACATTCACTGGGGACTCACGGAACATTGTGTGGACAAGGCTTTCCTCCTCCCCTTAGACCCTCTACACAGTCTCCCCATTCTTTTGTCTTAGGCACTGATATCTAGAAGCACTTTTTACATGGGACCTCAAGTGGACACACCAGGCTGGGACTCAAGCAGGCAACTGTCACTCTTTCCTGTCCTCTGTTACAGCCCCCCCTTTCCTTCTTTCTGTGGGCTCCCTCAGCCCCCCTTTCCCCCCCATATCCATTTCCCTGTCAGCCCCCAATCCTGGAAACATTTTCTAACCGGGACCTCCTGGATCCTGGAAGGGATTCAAGTTGGTGATTCACACTGTCTTTCTTGTTCTCCGTGAATACTCTATTCTCACCCTCAGCCCAACAACAGACTGTTTACAGGAACCCCTCCTCTCTGCCACCCACCAACCTGCAGAAGCATCCCTAGGACAACAGCCCACCACTTTTCTAAGATCACAAGAGAGCAATAGAAAACACGGAACAAAATACCCACTAACCAAAGGCAGGACCAGATGTCAACACCCAGAATCATCTCAGTCACCTCCATCCCAGATGCCTAGGCACCAGCATAAAAACACAAACATTAACACCCAAGACAACACGCCTCTACCATAAGTCAATAGCACAAGATGCCATATTTCTGAAGCACAGAACAGAGACTTTAAAATAGCAGTTATAAATGTTCAAGGATCTTAAAGAGGATATGAATAAATTTCTTAATAACATCTATAAGAACACAAACGAGTGGTAGAGTGATGAAACGTAGGAAACAATCCGAGACATGAAAGTAGAAATAGAATCACTGAAGAAAACCCAAACGGTGATAAAATTGCAAACGAAAAATTTAGGAAGTCGCAAGAAAACCTCAGAGGTGAAGCCGCATCTACAGAGCAAGAGTCACGGAAGAGAGAATCACGGGGGTTTAAGACAAGATTAAATAAATGTCAGATTAAAACAAACAAGCAAAAAACTCGGCACAAAACATCCAGGGAGCTGGGGATACCATGGAAAGAACAAATCTACGATTAATGGGAAAAGAGAAAGGAAAAGAAACCCAGGTTAAAGGCACAAAAAGTATTTTCAAGAAAATCGTAGAAGAAAGCTTCCATGACCTAAAGAAGAAGGTGCCTATAAAGGTCCGAAAAGCATACAGAACACAGAACAGACAGGGACAGAAAATAGGTCCCCCACAATACATAGTAGTCAAAACACTAAATGTAAGAGCAAAGAAAGAATTTTAAAAGATACAAGTGGAAAAGCCTAAGCAACATATAAAAGCAGACATGGGGCTAGAGAAGCAGCTGAGAGTTCTCCATCTAGCTCTGCAGGCTGCAGAAAGACAGACAGGCTAGGCTTAGAATGTCACCCCTAGGGACACACTTCCTTGAACAAGGCCACACTTCCTAATCCTTTCAAATAGTGCCACTCCCTGTGGCCATGTATTCAAACCCCCAAACCCTTTGATTTACAGTGGCGACCCGCAAGCAAGACATGCTGACGTAATGATGGCTTAAAGCTTATGGGAGTAACCAGTCACCATCTAATTGGATTTAAGGCCCTCTCCATGAGGTGGGGCCCATCCCTGACACGGCTTGGATTTCCAACAACCTGAGGCTAGATAAGCCATGGGCCTAGGGGAAAACAAACATTGCTGTTCTGCTAAAGGAACATAGCAATAAGCTGACTCCTAATGACATTCTGCTACGCCCATAGCTCTATGTTGCACTCAACCATCAACAGAGAAGCTTCCTCCTACAGAATATGGGAATTAAAACAAGACCCAGAGCTGGACAGCGTGCAAAGAGTGAGAGACCTTGGAACACTCAGTTCTAAATGGGATGTGTTCATCAACCCCCTCCCCTCAGGGCTCAGGGAACTCTGCAGAAGAGGAGGTGGGGAGATGGAGGACACTGAAGAAACAGAATCTTCCAGACACCACAGAACTGAAGCCCATATAAACTCTCAGAGACTGTGAGAGCAAGCACAGGCCTTGCACAGCTTAAAGTCAGACCTCCGTGTGAAAGTGTGGCGGTGGCCCTGCTGTCTCTGGGAATGCATGGGAGTGTGACACTGACAGCTCTTCCATTAACAAGGCTGCTTGGCAAGGCCCTGTGATGTGGGATTCCTCTCTGTATGCTGTGAATACCATTGGTTAATTAAGAAGCTGTTTTGGCTTGTGATAGGGTGGAGCAGAGCTAGGTGGGGAAAACTGAACTGCATTCTGGGAGAAAGAAGGCAGAGTCAAGAAGAAGTCATGTAGCCTCACCAGAGTCAGATGCCGGAACTTTACCTGGTAAGCCACAGCCTCGTGGTGATACACAGATTAATAGAAATGGGTTAAATTAAGATGTAAGAGTTAGCCAATAAGAAGCTAGAGCTAATGGGCCAAACAGTGATTTTGATTAATACAGTTTCTGTGTGGTTATTTTGGGGCTGAGCCTATAACCTTTGACAGCAGGCTTTAGAAGGGAGGATCTTCCTCATCGTGGCAATAACACACCCAGATAATTTACAAAGTTTTTGGAGAATAAGAAAAATTAAAACAGTCTTTGATCATCAAGACAGAGACCATATATTTCTATCTTTGATTACAAAGTAATGTTGTACATTTGTCTGGCATACAGGCTTACATACTAACAAACATCTTAAAACACTGTACAAGAAAAATAATGCTGGCTAGTTCACAATAAAATCTTCACATAGTGTGCATTTTCATACTTTTAAAAATGATTATTCAGCTAAAGTTGTGGAATACTGAATTAAAGAGAAGCAGGAGAAGGGAAGAAAAAATCAAAGTGACAGTGTGAAAAATTTTGCATCTACAAAGCATAGATTGTGCTTCTGAATTATTGTAAAAGATTGTTTTTGTAAGTTTCTGAAAGTATTTTCAGTTTGCTTGAGGTATCTCTCCAACCTGTGCCTACAGATTTATGTCTCATCTTGCAATTATATCAATTATTGCAATACTATACCAATTATCTTTCTAAAGATGGCTATAATAGTTGCTACTAAAAAAATATCCAAACTTCTAAATAGAAAGTATATCCTTGTAGGACATCCTATGACTATTCCAAGGATGTGGCCATACTTTCCATATTACTTTTAGAATTCCTCTTTGGAATCACAATTGGCAATCAAAGGTGAGTAGGACAGCCAGTGTGTAGAGGACATATGTATGATACATATGTGTGCATGTCCACATCGAGCAGCACTCACCCGATTCAAGCAATCTGACTTCAAATTACATTTTGGGCTCTATCAAAAAAAAACCCACAAACACAGTTATCCCAGTAGACAAAGATTTTTCCAGTATGAAAGTTATTATTATTATTGTTGTTGTTGTTGTTGTTAATGAAAGCATTTGAAGTGGCATCCACACAAGCTATCAAACAGGAACAACAGCTTAGAGTAAGGGCAGAGTCTGGGTTCCCAAGACAGCCGATTTAGGGGCTAAAATGGACTTCATAGGAACATTGGTTTTTATGTGTAATATTGGACTTCTGTTTAAACAACCACATCATATTCATGTGCCCTTTGGACCACTGAATTATATCTAGTAATAAACGACTTTTGCAAAAATCCGGAAGTGGTTCAAAATAGACTCTAAATTTAGAATTTCGCACAAAAATTCCGGGGGAGGGCACCAATCGGTGTAACGTTGTTTTAGCTCTCAGCTCTAAGCACCCAAAGCAGACTCTAGAATCTGGTTTCGTTGAATGCTGGTGAAGTACAGGGGCCTTCAAACAGACCGAGGGTCTTTGCTCATTCCCAAAAAAATCAGTATTTGAATAAATCCTTTCAGTTCAATGGCATCTGTTTCACAGTGTGATTCCTGTAACACGAGCTTTTCAGTAACTGTAAATGTTATTTTTGTTGCTTTTTTTGCACTTACACCTCACAACACCTGGTTGCGAGGTTTAAGATTGTTTGAAATTTTGCATTTCACATTCCTTTTGGCACTTTTGAAGAAAGGGGATTTTTTTTTTGCCCATTCCTGTCTTTTTAGTTTTAAATGTTTGGCTTTATGACATTCACAATTCTCCCTGATCCCCACATCACTAAATGAGAGGGGTGGAAATCTGCTGTTATTACAAGCTGTCCACCTCAACCCTTCTTAGTGGCTACTGTCCCTGGCTTCAGATTTATGCTGTTTGCCGACTGCCATAACTGGATCTGGTGGTCCCTCTCGAAAGAAGAGAACAACTGGGTTTTTGCGAGCCCACATGACCACTTCCCCTCCTGCCCCGCTAGCCGGGTTTGAAGAAGGCATCCTGCTACAAGCCCCCAGCCTGCTGGTACAGCCATTTGGAAGGTGATTGAGGCTTCTGACCTGCAAACCTAGACCTTGGCTGGGCAAAAAAGCATCCATGTTCCTAGTCCTGTAACCCTCCTCACGATTGCGCCCTAGGAGCATGGAAATGTTGGGGTTGCGGATGGCATAGATGACAGGGTTGATAGCCCCATTGGCCCACGTCAGCCAGACAGCCGCCACATTGAGCAAGGAGGGGGCCTGAGTGGCCTGACCCTGCCGAGTCGCTGCCAGAAGCACCAGGAAGCAGTAGGGGCCCCAGCAGCAGATGACGAAGATAATCATGATGAGCACGGTGGTGGCCGTGCGCACCTCGCTGAAGAAGCGCAGCACGCGCGCGTAGGTGGTCATCGGCCGCACGCGCACGTCCGACAAGCGCACGGTCTTGCAGATGTGGTAGCGGCAGAAGCACATCAGCAGGAAGGGCAGCAGGTAGCAGGCCACCACCAACCCCACGCTGTAGATGGCGCCCAGCTGCGCGGGGTCTGGGGAGGTCCGGTAAAGGCAGCGGTGGAAGCTCTGCGGAGCAGGGGGCTCCCGGGGCGCCCGAAGCAGCTCCCAAGGCAGCGAGAAGCCGAGCGCCGCCAGCCAGGCTCCGGCCAGCAACTGCAGAGCGCGTCGCCGGCCCAGCTTATCCCGCGGCGGACGCACGATGGCGCAGTAACGGTCCAGAGAGATGAGCGCCACGCTGAACGTGGACACGATGCCAAAGCACGAACTGAAGAAGCGGCTGGCGGCGCAGAAGCTGCGCCAGGGCCCCGAATCTCCGGGAGGCGCGAACAGGTCTAGGAAGGCGGCGGGTAGACAGAGCAGCGCGGTGAGCAGGTCGGACAGGGACAACGACAGGATGAAAGCGTTGGTGACCGTGCGCAGCTGCCGGTGCTTCACGATCACCCCCATCACCGCGCAGTTGCCCAGGCTAGACAGCAGGAAGATGAGCAGGAGCACGAGCGCCTGGGCGGCCACCGCCGCCCCGTGCCACAGCAGCGGCGCAGGTCCCCGAGACCCCGCCGGCTCCGGCCGGCCCGCATCACTCTGGTTTCCCAGCGTTACCGTGGCGACGGCGCTGAACGACAGCGCGGCCGCGGTGGCCGTGGAAGCCGCCCCGCCCGGATGAGCGCTGCCTGGTAAGGCCACGCTCGCGGGCGGGCGGCCGGGGGGCCGCTCCTGCTCCTCCATGGGGCACCGCGCAGGTCGCCGCTCTGCTCATCCCGCAGCAGGGTGAAGGGCTGAGCGGACCCAAGCGGCCGCCGCGAGGAGTGGGTGGGGCTCGGCCGAAACGGGGCGGTCACCACCCCGCGCTGGTAGAACCTTGACGTGGGTTCCAGGCGTTGCTGAGGGAACCGCCTGTTTACGCAGGAACGCAGGGCGGGACGCCAGCCGGGTACCCCAGAAAACCGGTCCACATCATCTCCTTCCCCAGCCCGAGGCGATCCTGCCAGGGTCTGTGCGTCTGAGGGCTGGTATGGTCTACCTCCAGCACCCTGCCATGCCAGAGACAGTCAGAAAATCCCGCATACGAATGGCAGATTCTACCGAGGTGGTCTAGCTGTTTCCTGTCGGGCGCTGAGGCCCTACAGGGAAGCCTTTGTGAGGGTACTGATGCTGTGGGCATCTCTGGCGTCCACAGGTAAGAAAGGAAAACAGTCCACATCAGGAGTTCTTGAACTTGTGGGGTGGGAGGGGGTATTTCCTGTATGTCTATATTTTAAGCCAGCAACAGAAACACTCAGAGGGCGTGTTACACATGACTAGGTTCCAATCTCAGTTTCCGATAATGGAGTGAGGATCAAGAATTTGTATGGTTGGTGATGATGATGATCCAAGGGTCACACTTTGAAAACTACTGACGTGACAAACTTGTTTCGATAGATTTCTTGCTGACACTCAATATTCTTGCGTCTGGGCTCCTCCCTTAAGCCTGATTCGGAGCAGATACTCTCAAGGACTGGCATCTGGATGTAGGAGGGAAGATGCCATCTACTGTTCAAGGTCCTGGACCTCTGGATGGTAACTGGTTAATGCATGGGGAGAGGGCAGAGAGGCGTAGGTTCCCCCGCTATTACCATTTGGTCTCTAGAATGTGGTGTGTGGTATATTAAGACATGGCCAGCCACAGACACTCTGGCAGATACTGAGTGGGGAGAGACAGAACCAGGAAAGGTCTGGCTGCCCAGCAAGGTTGCCTCTCTAGACCGCGGCTATGACCTTGAGGAGGAAAGGCTTAAATCAATCCTCCAGTTACCTGTGCTCTTTAAAGCAGCTGTTCACAAAATGCGGGTCTGGAGCCAACAACATCAGCACCGCTCAAGAACTTCCAGCAATGCAGAATCTACTGTTCCGATACTTGGGAGGAGATCCAGACTCTAGTGCTTTTTTATTTTTTATTTACAATTTAATAAATACTCCTCGATGACTGCTCATGGGTAGGCACCTTGGTAGTATTCAGCCAGATCACAGTGATGGTGTTTTCCTAATGGTGCGTAGTTTTCAGTAGAAGTCACTATCAAACCAGCAAGACTGCATTTATGCACCCATCGTTCTCAGGATTGTTGGTAACTTGGGCATACTTTCCCCAAATAACCTTGCCTCCTTGTGTTACAAGGCCCAGCTCACTCACGTTCACTTCAATGACTGTCCCTTTGGTGATTACACCCAGAGTTGTATATAATGGGGATGATGGATTCTTTTTCACACCAAGTATTGGCAAGCAAAAGGTAGCTTTCAGTTCAGGATGTGTGACGTGAGCTTTTTTGAAACGCAGACCCATCGGCCTGATAAACCTTTCATATTTAGGTGGTTTTCTTGTAAAACCATCACCAACAAAGCAGACTTTAGTAACCATCCTCTTCCATGCCTTCTTTTTTCTTTTTCCTGTTCGAATTACTTTCAATACTTCTGTTTCTCCTTGGGCACAAACTTTGGGTAGAGGGACTTCCCATTTTCCCGCCTTCTCTTTTCGTTTCTGCTTAATCATGTTGGAAAGCACTTTTGCTCTAGATTGCCCCTCTCTGTCCAGCAGGTAGGCAGGTACTGCTCCTTGTGGGGTCTTTTCATCATTCTTTTGCTTGGTGTTTCTCTTTTCGTGCATCTTAATAGTCTTTTTCATTTGTATTTTCTCAGCATGGCGCTGCTTATGGTAGAGCTTAGCCTTCAGGCCAATCATTTTCTTTGCCTTCTTTGAACGTTCATGGGCCTCCCGACTTTCTTTCTTTCTCTTTTTCTCATGGTAATCCACACGATATCCATAGCGTTTACGGTGTAATTCAATATGCTCATTTTGTGGCATGATGGCAGCTGCGGAACAGCCGTCCGCGACCTCCCGACTGCGAAAACCCTCTTCTCCAGACTCTAGTGCTTTGACAAGCTCTCCGGGAGATGCTAATGCACCCGCAATCTTGAGAAACTCTTAAATAACTAGGTCACTTGCAGGTCTTGGAGTCTGCATTATGGCTGAAGGGTTTCCTTCAGTGTATGCTACAGGAAACTTAGTGCATTGAAAGATTTCTCGCTCTCAGTCTGGGCCAGATCATTCTTTGCTGGTGGGAAGAGAGCCCGCCACAGGGCCCTCAGCAGTATTTCTAGTCTCTGCCCGTTAGGCGCCAGCAGCACGTCTCTCAGCTGCAGCAACTAAAACTATCTGCAGAAATTGCCGCATACCCCTTCAGGGTAAAAGCAACTCCAGCTGACAGTCATTCAATATGAAAATATAGCACCTATAGATGAACTTATTTAGTAAATTCAATCTGCAACCATTAATGCTAGTTCTAGCACAAACGTATAACAAGGAAATAAGTGTTTTTAAAAATGAAGGAATGAAATGCAACGGAGATTAAGTTGCCGGAGTGGCTGATAAAGACTTTGTATACAAAGCTGGACCACTGCGAAGGGGAGAGGAGAGATGGAGAATGCAAACACGAGATTGAGAGGAGAGTGTTGAAGTTGTCGGTGTCTGAATTCTAGGCTACATGCAGTTGGGGTTAGAACGTTGGATGTTAGGTATTACCAGTTTGTTGGAGTCACACTCTCTGGACTGGCTATACCAGAGTGAGCCAACGTGCTTGTCTGGCATCTCCTTACCATACATAAGTGGAATGAAGCAATAGCGTCCTACAGGCGAGGCAGAGAGCTCTACCCTGAGGCAGTGAATGGGGAGTGCACTATCTGCAGACAATTCTAAACCAAGAAGAGAAATAACTAAGCCTCATTGGCTCTGGTACTGCCAGAACTGACGGTTCCTAACTCTGCCACAGCTAAAGTTCTGCACCCTTGATAGCCATGGGACACTAACTGCAGTGTGCTCTTTCGGATAGAGGGTGCATATGTGGTCCATCAAGAAATGTGACTCTAAAAACAATGTATTTGTTCTAGTTAATGAGACATGAGATTAAGAGAGAAAATAGTGATTCTATTTTCATTTCATTAAATGGGGCGAATCACCTGCTCTATGGAAATTTAGTCACCCGAGTTGATGGCAGCACCTCTTTCCCTTCCCTTTGGGGTGACTGATGGTGTTGACTCCAACCTGAACTGCTTGGGGGTGATGGGGAAATAACAGATATTCACTTCCCATTTTTTTCTTTGGGTTAGGTAATCAAGTTACAGACCTCCAAAAATAAGTCAATGAAGGACTGCTGAGTGACGGAGCCACTTACCATGGATTAATCAGTATCTGGTGTGCTCAGACCTGAAGTACTACTACATACCTCATACCTCACAGGTCTACTGTGTCTTCCAAGGGCATCACAGGTAATGTTTCAATAGATGACAGACAATGATCCATTTTATTTTATTCCTGATTATTAAAAGTCAGGGCCTGAATGAACTGGCTGACCTCAAACTTTATAATCTTCTTGGCTCTAGCCCCTAAGGGCTGGGACTACAGGCATGTGTCCCCACACCTGGCTTTCAATCAATATTTTTAAGAGGCTCAAAGGTAAGTATTAACGGGCAATAATGCTAGTAATGAGATTTTTTTTTCACGTTCTAAGTCTAGCAAGCAGCTGATTCTTGAGAGTTGAGCTGATCCAAGGCTTTCTCAGAGGCCTTCAGGAAAGGACAAAGGGAAGATGAGTCCATGTCCTTGTCCAGGGAGTCTTGGTCAAGTCCAGTCTGGGGCTGGAGCCAGGGCCTAGGAGAAGTTGTGTTTCCATTCCTCGGAGCTTGGCTTTTCTCACTGAAGAGACTGGAGTTAACAGTCCCAAGGACTCTTGTGTGCGTGGCCTGTGATACCTCTGAGGTATCCTGTGCTCCCCTTGGGCAACACTGCTTGACTTAGCTTCCTGCTGACTTTGTCCCAGTATAATAGCTTTGTGCTAGCTCTGTGTCCCCCCTCCCCTCCCGCCACCACAAACAGTATACAAGATGGTGTACTTCTTTTTTTTTTTTTTTTTTTGGTTTTTCGAGACAGGGTTTCTCTGTAGCTTTGGAGCCTGTCCTGGAACTCCCTTTGTAGACCAGGCTGGCCTCGAACTCAGAGATCCGCCTGCCTCTGCCTCCCGAGTGCTGGGATTAAAGGCGTGCGCCACCACCGCCCGGCCGATGGTGTACTTCTTAAAGAACTTGTTTGGCAAAAGACATGGCCTGTGCAAGACCCCCCCCCCCCAAGCCTACCTTTTCTATCTTCTTTATCTCTGATCTGGACTTTCCTCGTTAGTACCCCGTCAGTGAAGAACTTACAAGTCAAGTTTCAGCTGATAGGACATGAGATTCATTTCATTGTAAAGGTTCAGAGATTAATTTTCACTTCCCATCTGTATTTCAACAATGTAGCATGAGCTTCTAGAGTCAATACTTAAAACCAATGAATAAACCAAACAAAGGAAAAACAACCATCCAAACACACAACAAACAAAACACCACTCCCTAACCCAAAAGCATCATCCTAGGGATGGCAAAAAAATCTGGTTACCTGTTGGTCTTTGCAGCACAGTCAGTGTCTTTGTGGCACTTGGGTACCACTAGGTGTAGATGATGGGGGCTCGGCAGCAAAGGCAACACCCCAGTAGCCCCTATAACGATGCCTGTCAAAGAAGCTGACTCCAGGTCATCTTTCCAGGATTATTTATGCCAAGTGTTGAGAACCTTGTAATAACCTGCTTCCTCAACATGCTGCTTATGGAGGCCTTAATTTTGCTCAAACTGGAGCATTAAAATAACAGACTCACAAAGTTTATTGCTGTGTGGTCTATGACTGAAGCTATCATCCAAAGAAACTTTAACACAAAGAACTGCCATTTCCACAGCGTAGATCAAGAAACTAGGTTTTAATTTGGCCCTGTATACTAACGGTTGAAACGTTTCTGATTTTTTTGCACTTTGTATGCCCCATCAGTGATATTTAGGCTCAAAAGGTTTGCAAGCAGGGAGAATAATGCCTTGCACTTAGCCTCAGTATACTGTTCTAGAAATTATAAAATTAGCCTGTATGGGTAACTGGATGCTGATTTTCATATAATACAGAGGAAACACCACTCACAGGTAATTGCTTTAGAAGGAAAACCTTAAAGCTCATGGGCAAGGTCACTTGAGAAGAAAGCCATCCCTCAAGGGGTCGTTGTCTTCCACTGTCAGGCTTGCTGTCCCCGTGTAATGGGCTTGTCCTGCAACCTCCACGATGACAGCTTTGAAGTCCCCGCACTTTCCTTCCTGAGAAAGAAGACCAGAGGAGCAAGCTGGGGAAATCCTGCGGCTGTTTGGTGTCCTGAAGGCTGGGCTCTTGGCTCTTACAGCCAGAGAAACCCACGTGTTGTTCCCTCAGCACAGAAAGGTTTTTAAGGGGGTGACAAGGTCAGATTGTGTTTTAGTTAACTGGAAAGAGGGGGCACATGGGAGAGGGACTAGAAACCCAGAAGCCTGCTAAGCGGGACCTTTTGTATTCAGAAACAAATCCTGAAAAACAGCTGCGTTAGGGTAGATGGCTTCCTACGTTAAAGGACTCTCCATGAGTACGTTCATCCACTGACATAGATTCATCATTCTGTAACAGGTTTCATTTGCTACCGAGCAGATTCACTGTTAGCACATATGCATTTGAGTTCATTACAAAAATTCTATTTCCACAACTCGCATCTTTTATGTGCTACTCTTTGAATTACAATACTTCCATAGAATAAGTCAAAAACCAAAAAGGCTCAACTCTAATGCAGTACTTCTTAAATCTTCTGGTCTCAAGAGCCCTTTACAACCTTAATATTTGAGGACCTCCACAAGCTCTTCTTTAAGCATGGCATACTCTCAGTACTTACTGGGAATTAAAGGTATTTGTTCACTGCTTCAATTGAAGACAAACTGATTACCAAGCAATGAATGCACAGAAATGAATACGCACTTTTTGTAAATAACTGTTGCCAAAAAGTTTTAAACGAGAAAAGTGGCGCCATTTTTCAATCTTGCAAGGCCCACTCCTGTCTGTCTCAATAGGAACAGCTGGGTTCTCACCTGCTTCTGTATTCAGTCATTCACATGTTTGGGCTATCACTCAGAGTGTAGCCTGCCTGCTTCTGAGAGAGCGAGGGCAAAGCTAACCATGTCTTAGTATATCATGATGAACAAACATAGTCTTGACTCATAGAAAGCACAGTGGGTCAAACCCGAGGTGCCAACACTACACTTTGAGAATTGAAGGTTGGACAGAAGTTTTTACAGGCTGGCTTTCAAGTCTAGGAATTCATCCGGCACCCAGCTCCACCCCTTCTGTCTCCCAACAAGAAGCCAGAGTTACACTGACCCTCACAGCACACCCCGTGAACACGGAGCCAGTTGCGCTGCTTTGGAAGGTTCTGGTCTGGTCCAGCTGCAGAAGGCCCTTATGATACTGCAGAGCAATTCGAGCTGTCACTCCCGAGCCCGTGGGGCTTCTGTCGACCTGTTTCAGAACCATAAGGACAGGAATTGAGTGTTCTCTACCCAGTGGTTCTAGGGTTCAAGTCTAACAGTTGAAGCCCCTGGTCCCCACCTGTTCATCTGCAAACACGCAGATGTTGGTGGTGGGCTCCTCGCTGTATGCATCTTTTCCATCTGTTAAAATAGTTCCATACAGAAAACCAAGGTCTTCACTCTCAGGATGCTTGATTTTAAACTGCAATAAAATGACCATATGTGAAATGTTTGATTCAAATTTTGCCTTTGAAATAATGTCAATGACAGACTTAATTTTCTCAATATGTATCATTTTTGAGAATCACCTAAATAAATGCTTGATATTACGTTACTCTCCAGACACAGTTTTATTTGCAGTTACGATTCTCATGTTGAGTTCCTGCTGAGGAAACTCTTCTGTATCTAACCTCAACTAGGCACCTATTTTATATGCATGCCCAGCACAGACCCTCTGTGGAGAGCTTAATTCATGATGGGTTGATCCACAGGCTGGCTATGCCTGAGTTAAAACCATGCCAAGGAAGGGGAGAATGTGGGAAAATCTAACAGAGTAAATCTTTTTTAAAGGATAGTTAAAAGAATTCAGAGGCTACTTGTAAGTAAGAAACAATTGGAGTTAGAGGGAAAAACAGAACAGAACACAATTAGTTCTAGGGGATCTGATGCCCTTTTCTGGCTTCTTGGGTGTATGGGTTCATTGTAAAACCAGCTAGTGTTCTTAACGCCTCAGCCATCTCTCCAGCCCAGTGCTACATATTTTCATTTTTCTACCTTTCATATTTTTTTCAAACTAAAGCCTTGTTAAGTGGGCCCATAACATGATCAATGCAAGCATATTAAATACCATCATGCTACTTATTCTGACCACTAATTAGATTGTCATGTAATTTTCAAATATTGTAATGTTCTTTCATCTATGAGTCCTGACTCTAGGTCGATTGGCAGAATTATGCTAGAAATGAAAGAATATACTCTTGAGTTGCTTACCGCCTAAACTGATGTGATTTTAGAGTAGAAAACCCAAACCCCCAGCAGTCAGGTCATGAGTGCTCCCAGTGTCAACGCTAGGATTCACAAGGGTCACGCGAGGGGCCTCTAGCCAGTACGCTCGTCTTAGTATGACTACAGAGGCAGGTGCATACTTTCCTTATGGATGTGATCATTGTATTTATCTAAGCACTGAGGGAGCCTTTGTCATCAAGGTAGCACGGGGACTCACCTGAGCTTTCACTGCTTCTGTCACCATGCTTGCTGCCTCCACAAGGTCCCTCGTCTTTGCAGAACACACATCAAGTCCTAATTTTTCTGCACTAACAAATGCATAAAATGCCCCACCGTACGCGATGTCCAGCACCACCTTTCCATGCCCAGGAACGTCCACTGTGAGATCTGAAAGAGGGGTTTACAGGTATGTTTGTTAGGGAAAAATGAATCACAGGAGAAATGCTCACAATAGAAAGAAATGAAACCTAAATCCATTTTCAAAATAAGTGTTGGGCAAATGAGACGGGGAAACTCTGGGACAGCCACCCGTGAACACCACAAAGAGTACACACTAGTAGAGAAGGCTTCAAATGGGATTTGAACATTATTCACAAACTGGCCATCTTCAGCTGTACTGCCAAAAGGGAAGTTTTAGAGAAGACTTCTCTAAATGTCCCATAACAGCAGCATTGGGCTTGCAGGTATGCACCACCATGCCTGGCTGCCTGCCACTTTTCTTCTTAAATAACTAAACTGCTGGCATTGGAAATTGAGAGACCATGAGCACGTTCCATGTGCCAGACACACTGCCTCCACTATTTCAGCGCTGAGAGACAGGTTCTGCGATTTAGGACGCTCCCATAATTCTGAGAAGCCCACTAAAGAAGTGGCAGAGCTTGGAGTCAAATGCAGAAGGCCCTGACTCTCACATCGCAGCCCGTTCCCCTGAAATATGTAACCTGTATTTAGAACTCCATCCCAAATCTAGCATCTTTCCTTTTGTCTACGCAAGCTCATCACTAGGATTTTACATTGATTTCCCTCGGGTTACACCTAGGGCATACCTACCAGAAGAATATCTACCACATGGGCACCTAAGAATCAGGCTGAATAAAACAGCCCTTTCTTCCCAAGTTGACTTAGACAAGAAAGACAAAATCTCAAATGCAGCACATTTGATGGATATACGAGCTTTCCAAGAAAATCGAAATGGGGTGAATTGCAAAAATGTTGAGGATGGAAGGATGAACCTGCCAGGCTTGGGTCTGGCTCCTGGTTCTGCTCCTTGGCACAGCTTTGCTGTTCTTGCACAGAAAGAGGAACTTGTACGTCCCCTACCAGAGCTGCTTTGAAAATCCGTGCAGTAATACACAGAGAGTACCCAGCACGGGCTAGTGGGTTTGGTGAATGCTAAGGTGGAAGTCAAAGTTTAATTTCCAATAGGAATGGCATTCTCAAGAGGCTTCAATTGCCAATCAGCACATTCTCCAAATTTCATTTGCTTAGCTATCGTTCAACTCCTATTCATTTACAGCCTGCTGTGGTAGACCCCTGGGATAAAGTGAACAAAACAAACGTAATTTATCACATGGGCTGCAGTGAACTCTGTAACCCTCCCCCGTGGGTATGGTTGCACCTTTGTTTCAGAGATGGTGACGTTCCTGAACATGGTCGCTGAGATAGGAAAGGGCAGATAAAGGCTCTCCAACACCATCCTCCTGCCTTTTATGTGCTGCTGGGGATGCAAGGTTCCCTGTTCCTAAGGCTTCAGTGTGAGCACTCAAGCCCACTGACTTCTGTGGCTGTCACACAGGGATGCTGGTGGGAACTCTGGTATCTAAAGGTTTGGCTAGCCCTCCCCTTACTAACCAGGGACTAATATGAACGCTGCTGCCTCCAGCTGTTAGGTCTCACAGAGTGGACTCTAACCTGCTGCTTGAATTGCTTAGGGAGAAATTAGGTGGCCAACTAGTTCAACGGCTGTTTTTCTTTTTTCTTTTCTTTTCTTTTTTTTTTTAAAAAAAACTAAACTAAAATCATAAATGGTCTCCCTCAAGCGCCAGCCTGGTTGTGATACTCATTCTCCCGAAGGGCATCGAATTCCACAGAGCCATTTATCCCCACGGGTGTTTGCCTACTGAGGTTACCCTAAGCCTGTTCTGCTACAGTGTCCTTCACACCCGGGCTGATCCGGAGTCTAATTATCCGGGGAGGATCAAGAGCAGCTTTCCTAAGAATGCTTTGCATTGCTCGGAGACTGGGGAGAAAAGCAGTGTTATGTAACCTCATTCCTGGATTGACCAAATTAGCTCCCAGCTCACTTCCAGTCACATATTAGACATCTGCACTGAAAAACTCCATCCTGCAAAGTGTGTCCGACTTTCCACTGTGGCAAAGTTCATGCTAGAGAGCTACGCATCCCAGAGACAATAAGAAACACGTAAGTCGTTAAAAACAAACAATTCCATGTTTTCAGTAACTTTCCTTTTTCTGTTGGACCACATTCATAGCTATCCTGGGAACAGGGGCCCTACGAGTGGCAGGCTGCGGCTCTCTCCAGCTGTTGCGACCCTTTAAGACAGTTCCTCATGTTGTGGTGACCCTCAACCATAAAATTATTTCTGTTGCTACTCTGTAACTGTGATGTTGCTACCGTTATGAATCGTGAAGCAAATAACGGTGTATTCTGAGGCTCTTAAGAGACCCCTGTGAAAGGACCAGGCAACCCCAAGGGGGGCTGTGACCCACAGGTTGAGAACCACTTGTGCTAGAAGGACACCTGGGATAAAAGATAAAAAGCCAGCTGCCAGGTGATTCTGAAGAGGGTTGTTCCTCTGCAGATGACCTGCTTGCAGAGATAGCAAAGACCTATTCTCGGGAACCCAGAAATCCTCTTCATGTTTTTGTGCACCCAGGAAACAACAAGCCCACTATCTTGAAGTCTCTGTTTCTTGATGAGTATTTTTTCAGATGTTTAAAAAAATTCTACCAGCATTCAGGAGGCAGAGGCAAGCAGATCTCTGTGCAATGGAGGCCAGCCCCAATATTGAAGTTGTTAATAGAAGTTAGTCTATTATATAGAATAGTGTCATTCAAGCCAGGGCTACAGAATGAGATCCTATCTCAAAACAGAACCGTCCACATGTTAAAAAAACAAAATTCTAAGAAGGTTTTATGTGCTCCTTTTTAACCCTGTGGAAATGAATGAAGGTACAGACTCAGGCAGGGATCTGAGGGGTTGTCAACTTGTGGATTTAGGCAAGAGCAGCAAATATCTGTCCCTGCAAATATAGTTCTTCCCCAAAGCCAAAGGGTCTCACCCTGTGGCTCATGCTGGCCTAGAATGACATTCTCCCTGCAGAGGGAAGGCACTTAATAGCCGGGGAAAGACAGGTCATGTTAAGTAACTTATTAGGAGACATGTGTTTACCGAGCATATTCGAAGCTAGACTGGAACTCACTGACCTCTGCTCTTAACTCCATTCTACTGTGAAATCTCTACGGGTGCCTGCCTGCCAAGTGTGGAGTCGGGATGTTGTGTAAAGACAGCACAGACTTCTTCACCACTCCACTCCAAGCTCCCCCAGGCTTTGCCTGGACGGTTAGGCAAGATAACTAAATTGCACCCACCAAGACGCCAAGACGTGTGTTTGCAGTAACTTGGAATTACCTTTTTATGAATTGCTAAAGCAAGCAGGGTGGGGTTAGTTGCGCAGGTTTATTCAGCAAAGAGCAGTGGTTAGATTTCTTCGGAGTGTGTCCCAGAACATCAGGCCTAGAGGGTCTCACCCTTTACCTGCGGCCAGGACGAAGGCCGGGACGCTGTGGAAGCGCACAGGGCCGCTACTGCGGCCACCTTCACATGCCACGAAGGCGGTCACGAGCCCGCACGGGCAGTGGATGTTGACCTGGGCCTCCCGGGCGCCGTCTGGGGGAGCAGGCACCAGTCCGAAGTCAATGGCGAAGCGGCCCAGGGCCAGCACCGCGTGGCCGCACATAGAGCTGTAGCCTTCGTTATGCAGGAACAAGACGCCCAGGTGCGCGTCGGGCAGCTCGCTCGGCACCAGGACCGCTCCGTACATGTCCCGGTGGCCGCGGGGCTCGAACACCAGCCGCTGTCGCACGTAGTCGAGGTGATCACGCATGTAGCGACGCTTGGCCAGCAACGTGGGCCCGGACACCTCCGGACACCCGGCGTGCAAGATGCGCAAGGGCTCGCCGCCCGTGTGCATATCCACTACCGACAGTGGGGGTGTCCTCGGGTCGTGTGGAGGCAGCCGGGCCACTGACAGCGCCGCCTCCATTGTCTGCGTCCGGGATTGCGGTTCAGCACAGCAGTGCTCTCTCCAAGCTGGGGATAAATGTCAAACGCCACGGGAGAACGCGCAAGGCCGGTGGCAACCGCAGGGCCAGGCGTCGGAGCAGACACCACCGGGCGACAAGCCTGGAAAATTAGACTGGGCGCGCCCACCGGGTTCGGAGAGGGACACACGGCGGGGGCGGGGCCTCGGAGACTAGACACGCGGCGGGGGCCGGGCCTAGAAACTAGTTCGCACATGGGGGTGGAGATCCATAGGCTTGGCCACACCCAGGGGCGGGGCCTTGGAGACTTTAATCACACGGCGGGGGCGGGGCTACTAAGCCTTATCTAGGAAACGGGGGCGGGACCTCTGGGTCCCGTCTAGGAATCGCTCGAGGCGGTGTAGACTTGACTCGGTTGGAGGCCGGACCTCGGTGCCGGCCCTTGCCCAGACGAGGCCCGAGGAGTCTGAACCCGGAAAGGGTGGAGCCTCTGAGCGCAGACCCGGAAGGGACGGAGACGCTTCCGAGCCTAGACTAGGAAACCGGGTTCCTGGGATCGTAGGCCGGATAGTCCACCAAGTGTATTTCAGCCTAGCGGAGACGGCGCTGCTGGGGCGGGTCTGGGAACCTAATGTAGCCGGGGCGGGGTTCCACCGCGATCGCCAGGCTAGCGGGAGGCGGAGCGGCGGGGAGCGCTGTGGCCCGGATGTTCGGGTGCTGCGTTCGGACCGGCTGATCCCCGGGCTTCTCTGGAGAACCTAGTGTGGCCAATGGGTAAGTGGTCGCTTAGGCTGCGGGGGGCCGGGGAGATTTCTGTCTTCGTGCCTGCTGCTTTTCCTCTTCATTGCCCCGGGCTTGCCTCCGGCCGACAGCTCTCGCGGGGCGGGCACCCTTGTCCTTTACTGCCCTGGGCTCCAGCTCTGACTTCTCCCGGAGTTCTGACTTCTGCTCCGGAATGGCTGGAGATGACCGCGGGGCGGTGTGCAGGAGAAAGGGCTGAGGCTTTGTTGTGTTCTTCCTACGTTCTTTCATTCATTCCTTTGTTTCTTGTCCAGGAAAGCGTTCCTAATGGTTGACTGGAGAATTAGAAGTGCGGGTGTTAGTGCAGGGCAGGAAAGCAGAAGCAGATTGACACACAACTTACTATTTCAACCTCAAATGTAAATTTTGTTTGTTTCTTCTTGTTTTTCGAGACAGGGTTTTTCTGTGTAACCCTGGATATTCTGGAACTCGCTGTGTAGATCAGGCTGGCCTCGAACGCAGAGATCCACCTGCCTCTGCCTCCCGAGTGCTGGGTTTAAAGGCGTGCGCCACTACACTTGGCATCAAATGTAAATCCATTAGAGTCTTTCACAAGGGCCAGAATTTTGCAGAAAAAAACAAGGTCAACATTTTTGCCATGGTTCACCAACGGCTATAAAACGTAATTGTACAGATTTTTTTTTTTTTTTTGGAAAGTCAGCTTTGCTTTTGTTTGTTGCACTGATTTTCAGGCCTTGGTTTTGGGATCTTTTAGATGCAAAGCCCATCAGTGCCTTAACTTTCTTCCCAGAAAACCTGAAACAATTCATCTCATGTATTTAGTTCATTATAATTCAATTGCTGTGACAAAACGAACAAAAAACGTCAAGGGACTGGCTGGAAAGCTGGCTCAGCGCATAAGAGCACTTGTTGCTCTTTCTGAGGACCAGGCTTTGATTCCCAGTACCTGCACAGCATCTCAGGATCTTCTGTAACTCCAGTTTCTGAGGATCCCATATCCTTTTCTGACCTCCAGGTCTTTTGTCCTCCAGAGACACCAGGCAGGTACATGGCACACAGACATAAATTCAGGCAAAACTCACAACACGTAAAAACGTAATACTATCATAATAAAAGTCTTTTTTAAAAAAATATTCTAAAATAAAGAAGTATGGGTTAAAAAAGATGTCAAGTACTTGATAAAAGTGAAAATATCAAACGTGAGACATTTTAGACTGTGTTTAAATAATCAAACATGAGGCACTCTAGACTGTGTTTTTCTTTTTGGTTTTCCTCGAAAATGCAAGGACAAAAAAATCAAGTCTACAGGAATTTGAAAGGAGAAAGGACCTTGTAACCATAGTCACATTGTGGATGCATGAAAAGTTTGAGGAAATTATAGTTCAGTGATAATAATAGTGTGTAAACTCACATGTAGGCCACCATTGGTTTGGACTTATTTGTATATGGCAGATTCTTAGAGAAGGCAGCCACACTGTCTCGAACCTCTGAGGACCTTCAGGGCCCTTGAGCAGATAGTCTACATATATGGTTATTGGGCAGTGAGGAGAATCAGGCATCACTGGTTCAAAAGACACCTTCAGTCATTTGTCCCAGGTGAAGTCCAGGGTGATTTGGAGGTCCTCAGGGTTTTGCTTTAGAAAGAGCTGTTTTTAATTTTCCTCATGTCTTTAAGAAATTGCAAGGCAGTGATTCTCAGGTAGTTGGTTAGAAGCTCAGTTCCAGCCTTGGTGAAAATGACCCCTGCCCTCAGCAGAAATGATAAAAGCTAGGATAATGCTTCTATATGGAGGTGAATTGATTTCTTTTAAAGACTATGCTCTATTCTAAGATTTTCTCCTTCAAACTTTTGTTACATGTTCTATTATGAACAAAGAATGTCTCTGTGTGTGTCCAATGCCCCAACTGGACAAAATGACAATTAAAAAACATATAGTTTTTAAATTGTGTGATATGTATGGCACTGGGGTATGCCTGCCAGAGTGCACACACGGAGAATGACAACATTCTGCCGTCCTCTCCATCTACCCTGAGCTCCACAAATCAACCTCCCCAGGTAGTTCAGGCTTGTGAGCAATGAAATTCCAAAGTCTGGTCTTAGGGACAGCTTCCTGGAGCTGATGGGAAGGTTCAGGGTTAGGTGCCTGGGGCTAGAACCTGCTGTGCAGGCTGGTGTAGGAGGCTCAGAGTGAACAATAGGATGCCGAGGTAATTTCCTGTAGTGTCACAGCGTGAAAGAACTTAAAAGTAAATGCATCAAGCCTTGTCTAGTACATTTTTAAAGTGAGGTTGAGATACTTCTGCCAATTCAGCAGTTACCAGGTTTTTATTACTTATAACCACAAAGGATGTTACTCTACTGGCATTTGTTTTTAAAAAGCTGTCGATATCCAACCAGCATGCCTTGGACTCTATTGTGGGAAGACCCTACTATTTAAAAACGGATCCAGTGAAATCTATGGAGAATGTGGGGTAAGTTCTATGTTAATATTATCTTATTTTAAGGTCTATTTACTTTGGAAACTTTTTGCATGAAGAACTTTTTGTTTTAAATATAGTCACAAATGTATAAGAATGTGGTATTAATAAAAGCCTTGTTTATATCTACATGTTGATAACTGTATTTACATCTTTTTTGATAGTCACAGATATTAAAAAATAGTTTATAATGTCTACTTACTATTTAATGATTTATCAAAGTGTTTTGTACAGTAAATTGACATGACAACCCCAGAAGACTTCTGCAATAACTTTTATATGATGTTACAAGGTTTTTCATTGAGTATTAGCTGTTTTAGCAATTAAGTAGAAGTCTTCACTGAGTGTTTTGCAGACATCACAGATGATGTGGATTTCTTGAAGTATTTTCTTTAAAAGCTATCCATATATACTAAACTTTTTAAACTAAAATGGGATTCCCTTATAGAATGATCCCAAAATACTACTTGTGTATAAAGCAATGCGTTAACATATTGTAGGTGTGTCCAAGAGGCCAGAGGACCAATGCGCAGAAGTACTGTCAGCCTTGCACAGAGACCCCCGAGCTTTATGACTGGCTCTATCTTGGATTTATGGCGATGCTTCCTCTGGTCCTACATTGGTTCTTCATTGAATGGTACTCGGGGAAAAAGAGGTGAGCACATTCTGATTGTACCTGGATGGACTAGTGTTGGAATAAAGATCACTTATTGTGATGCTGAGTGCGCAATCTTCTGCTAACCTATACCCCCAGCCTGACTCTCAGTCAGAAGAATAATTACCCTTTACTTGTTTCAAAGGGACAACCTTTTTTTTCTGAAATGAGAAAGAAATGGTAGGGCATATCTTAGTAGGTGTTAATGAGACTCTGTTAGAGAATATTATTTCTTAAAGATGATACTGAGTTTCTGCAGGAGTTGGCTAAGATCACAAGCTGTTACTGTTTTAGAACAAATACTTTATAACTTAATTTAATGTTAATGGCCTAGTATAATTATGAGAGCTGACTAGTGCACTGTTAGTGCATTTGTTGAGCAGTGTATTTTATGTTTGGAAGATCAAAGGGAGAGAGAGAAGTAGAGAGGACAAATGGGCACGTGATGACAATATAAATCCATTTTAGGGATGTAGTGAGATTCTCTGTTGCTAACATCTGGAGTCACAAAGAATGGGGAGAGAAATTATGCCTAATAGGACCTAAAAGACTTAAGAAATGCTAAAACAGTTTGGTAGAAAAAAGATGGAGGAATAGCAATGTGATCTGAAGTGGCCAGTGAGGGTTCTAAAGGAAGGGGAGTTAGTGATGAAAGTGGGGGGCAGCATGCAGAGGTTCTTGACAAGCTTCTGCCTGGTTCTTCTACAGGGAATGGGGAGGGGGATGGGAGCACATTCTTCTTTAGGTGTCAGTTTTTATTCCTCTACTCTTGTGAGTTTTTCCTGCTGTGGTCTTTTCACCTCTCCAAACTCTTCGCTGCCTGGTGTTATGGAGGCAGAAGGGAGTGTGGTGTGGCTGAGAAACGAGAGCTGAGAGTGGGCTGGATCTGGAGGCCTGGGACAGGGAAGTCTTAGGATGGGGAAGTCTTAGGACAATTCACAAAACTGGGGCCTAGTTCCAGAGCGGATGATAAAGAATACATGATTTTCTGCACAGATGACGTGTGTCTTGAGGGAGAGGATGGAGCCTGCCCCTATGTGTGCAAAGGAACTTGAAGCAGTCTAGCATGGCCGAGGAGTCTAAGGGGCTGTGGAAAGGGGCATCCTTCTCTGAAGGGCAGGAGGGATCCTGAAGTACTACAGTCTCCCATCAGGTGTAGTGACACAGATCAGTAAATCTTCCCCTGTGACTGTGCGTGCATCCAAGAGCACACACACCAACAGCTGCAAGGTACACAGAGAAAACAGATCTGTGGACCACCATCGTGTATGTGCTCCTTCGTGGACCGAAATACTACGCAGTGCATGAGTTTTAGAAT